AGAAATTTTTTTTTTTAAATAATAAATCCGTCGGAATTCCATCGGTTTCCTTAGCCGTCGGAAATCCGTCGGTTATCACCGTCGTCGGAAATCCGTCGAAATTTTCTGGCCGTCGGAAATCCGTCAGTCAAAGATGCCGTCGGAAATCCGTCGGTCACCCTGTCGTCGGAAATCCGTCGGTATAAAATTCCGTCAGAAATCCGTCGGTGGCTACTGTCGTCGGAAATCCGTCGGAAATTGGAATCCGACGGACTTCCGACGGAATTTCGACAGATTCCGGCTATCATTTTCCGTCGGAAATCCGTCGGATTTTCCGACGGATATTTATTTCCGACGAGATAGAACCGACGAACCAAAACCGTCGGAAAGCCGTCGGAATAGGGGTTATTCCGACGGATTTCCGACGGTTTAGGTCGTCGGAAACGACCCTGTTTTCTTGTAGTGTAATCATCTAAATTGAATGCCTAAGCTAGATCTAGAGATCGTGCTACCATATATTCATCTTCTGCACTTTCTTGAACTCTACCTTAAGCCTCTTTGACCTAGCATCTCTCGTCTCTAGCTCTCTTTTTTTTTTTTTTATTGAACTACGTACAGTCTACAGCTAATAACAAATTATCGAGAATATTTTAAAATGAACTCATGTATCATGTGGGATTTCGAAATGTTATTAGCTGTAATGCACTTAAGAGAATCAATGGCATTGAGTCTAGGGAGATATCACTTACTACACCAATTACACCAACTAATCCATCGATATTTAAATATTTTCTCTTACCAGCAATTTGGATTAAATTTGTTATCATTATTTTGTATCACTTTTAAATTTGGATACCTGCCAGCACTATATTATTTTCTTGGTTTCTTGGTTTGTATCACTTTTCTTGGAGCTTAACACATCTTTTGGTAACACAAAAACCAACAAAAGAAATGGATTTGAAGGAGCTTCCGGCGAACGTAAGAGACGATAAGATAAGCGAAGAGACCAAGAGTTTGATCTCTTCCCTTCCTTCTTCGCTTCCTTCACATGCAGATTCCCAAGGGATGAAGCTTTGTAAGTATCAAGGATGTTGGTACTACCCCAATACTCTCCAAGGCGTTATAAATTTCCAAAGAGGTTTTCAACCGCAAGACACCGATATAATCCTTGCTTCTTTCCCCAAATCAGGCACTACTTGGCTCAAGGCCCTCACAGTCGCCCTCTTCGAGAGATCAAATAACCATTCTTCTTCTGATGACCAACATCATCCTCTACTATCTGATAATCCCCATGGCATTGTACCATTCTTGGAGACTGATATGTTTCACGAAAGCTCAAGTCCTGACCTGGCCAAGTTCTCATCATTTCCAAGGTTGTTCTCGACTCACATGCCATTCCACACACTGCATGAGACCCTCAAGGGATCTCCTTGCAAGATTGTGTATATGTGTAGGGACGTGAAGGACACGTTGATATCGTGGTGGTTTTTCAGGTCCGCGATACAAAAAATAGAACCAGATAGAAGCATGCTCGAGTCTCTCTTCAAATCGTTCTGCAACGGAACTATGTACTATGGACCTTTTTGGGAACATGTCTTGAGTTATTGGAGAGGAAGCTTGGAAGACCCCAAACATGTCCTTTTCATGAGGTATGAGAAGATGAAAGCCAAGCCTTATGATCAGATCAAGAGACTTGCGGATTTCTTGGGATGTCCTTTTACTAAGGAAGAAGAAGAGAACGGATCGGTAGACGGGATCTTGGAGTTTTGCTCTCTACGTAATCTAAGTAGTTTGGAAGTTAACCAAACCAGGAAAAAAAAGACCATGGATCACAAGAATTATTTCCGTAAAGGAGAAGTTGGTGACTGGAAGAATTATCTTACTCCTGAAATGGAGAACAAGATAGATATGATCATCCAAGAGAGACTCCAAGGTTCTGGTTTGAAATTCTAGAGTATTTATAGTTTGTGTTTTGTTGGATGCAGCATAATAAGAGTACCTTCCGTTGTTATGTTCCTTAATCATGTCTTGCAATTGTTAATTTGAAGTGTTTTTAAGTAAAATTGCCCAAAGTGTAATTTTCGCCATGCACATGTGATACGGAGATTAAATTATATAT